TGCTGGTCCAAATTTATGCAAATCAGGGTTTGAAAAGTTCAATGCTATTGGTTAGTCGTGCAATCTCCTTTAGGGTCTGTTTTCCTGCCACTCTAAGGTTGAGGTTAGCACATAGTGGATACTGCTAACTGGATCAGGGGTTGGGGTTGCAGTGCTGTGTAGACAGGCCTTGGCACCAAGCCTGGGTCCATCAGCACCTCTAGGGTACAACAGGTCATTGCACCTGGCTCCCTTGTGTGTCAGGCCTGTGCTTGCATGTCAGGCTCTGTGCCATCTGTGACCCATGCTTGCTTCCTGTTCCATCGCTGTGCTGCCACTTCTCAGTGGGGATTAGTGGGCCAGCTGTGTGGCTTGGAGGCTGTGGAGCCAAATCAGAAGTAGTGTTCATTCCTTCTTTCAGCAAATCCCCAGGGCTTGCTCTCTGTTGGGCTCTGCTAAGTATGGGGACACAACAGTGAGCAGCCGCAGTCCTTTCTTATAGAACTGCCCCTCAGATAGGCAGGTGCAAGAGCCAAAGCACAGTGAGTAAACCAGAGGGCACAAGTGCAAAGGGAAGAAAACAGATCTGTGTGCAGGGATGGGCAGCAGGGGGCTCAGAACTTGTGACTTTTAAATCTGGGGTGATGCTGAGATCAGCCCTTCCACATTCAACAAAATAATTTTATGTCACATAAATCATAAAACCAGGTATCATATTCTCATTGTTTTACTTCCTTGAAGTAGCACAGCATGAACATTTTACAGCGATTCAATGTCATATTTTTCTTTGTTCTTTTGAGCCAATACTGACATTAATCCTTTTCAAATATCTTTTCAAATTTGTGATCTTTGTTCATATTTATTTGACCTTATTTACTATATAACTCCTCTTATTTCAAAGTGTATTTGAATCTCTTTTCAAATACATATAATTATCCTTTTGAAGTTTCTTTACTTGTGAGTCTGGGGCCTCCTCCTGTGGGTCCCAAAACAACGTTTGGAGGGGGCTGGGCCTATGGTGGGGTGAGGTCAGTCCTGGGTTGAAGTGAAACTGCAAATTGATTTGCTAAGAACTGAAGTGTGACAGTATCAGTTTCTGGTTAGTGTTTCTGCAGAGGTTGAGTAAACAGTTTCTGCTGGGTGCAGTGGCAGCTACTGCAGAGGTTGAGGTAGGAGCAGCCTTGGCACTTTAGTGAGACCCTGTCTCAAAATAAAAAGGTGTGGGGATGCAGTACAGTGGTAGAGTGCCAGTTCAGTCCCAAGTACTGAACATATATATATATATAYACACACACACATACATACACACAACTAGTTTATGATTTGATGGCCTTTTTTCCCCCACAGCAGAGACATAATATGGTAGAAAAGAGGTGTTCCAGGGCCTGGATCTGGAAGGAAAGGAGAGAAAGGCCTGGGCTGCAGCTGAGAATTTGGGAAGCTGTTTCTGACAAGGAGCAGTGGGTCACCTCTAGGCTCTGACAGCCTGGACTGGCAGAAAGATCCAGGTGGTTCTGTTACCCCAAACTAGATTCTCCAAAGGGGAGGAATTGATGGCAACTGAGAAGAGCTTCTAAGGTCACAAAGACTCAATTCCCTGCCTTCTGAGGGCTGTATCATGTGTTGGAGAGAATGGAGAAGGGCCTCTGTCGAGACTATGCTTCCCATCATAGCATGCAGAGAAAATGACAGCATGTGTGGATACATGCAGGTTAGTATGAGGTTGCCAGCAACCAGTAACAGCTGCTTAAAAGGTACTTCATGCTTTACCAGGATATCTGAGGGCTGAAGGATTAACATCTGGGCACACCTCTAGCCAGTTCCAATTGGGAAGCTCAGGTCTAGAAGATATCCCTGAGCACTTACCAGCGGAATGTGCAGACCCACAAGCAGCATGTAGTCCTGAGAGTTCCCCACCCCTTAATAGACAGTGCCCTATGTGTAAGAATTGCTAAAATGTAGACAAGAGTCATGAGAGCTGAGACAGGAGCATGGTGGGAGAGGGGCACTGGTTGGGAAGCCTCCCAAAAGAGGTGGCGCTGTAGTTCAGGCTTGCAAGCTGTGTAGTGACTGGGGGAGGACCCATGTGCACAGGCTTTGGAAAATGCCCATAGTGTGCCCGAGGAATGCATTAGCAGGAGTGGCATATGGGAGAGAAGGACAGGCTTAAAGGTCTGCCCTGCTGGGCAGGTCATGGCAGACTCAGACCTGGGCCCCTGCTCTCATGCTCACTCCCCTTCTTATACAGCATTCTCATCAGGACACAGGGTGCCTTGGCATACCAGGCCTGGGCTCTGCAGTGCCACCTCTGTGTGCCCTCTGCTAGGCTGCACCCCCACCAGCTGATGTCACTGACAAAGTGGAATCATAGAAGAGATACCATAGGAAAAGAGGGTCCCTGAAATCTCCCMAAAACTGTTAAGTGACCACAAATGGCTCCCGTGTTGCTAAAGGATGGTCACAAAGACATCAAAACCTGCATAATATTATCTGGGAGTTGGGGTTTGTTTCCATGGAAGCAAGAACTTAGTGAGTTAACTTCAGGAGGGGTAGGCTCCCCATCACTGGAGATGTTCAATCAAGGACCAGCTGATGACCACAAGTAGGTTGTGAAGGGGACAGGAAGTGAGCCAGGGCCTTTCCAGGCCTGGATGCTACATATTTGATTGAAGCAACATGAGGTCCCAATGAAGAACACAGTTGCAAGTGACAAAATTCAGATTTTATTAAACAAAACCACTGTAACTCAGTGGTTAAACACTCGCCTAGCATGTGTCAGGTCCTGGGTTTGATCCTCAGGGCCAAGAAAAAAATATACATTATTTAAACCACATTAGAAAATTGCTGTCATTTAAAAATATCCACTGGGCTGGGGTGTAGCTCAGCAGTAGAGTGCTTGCCTGGCATTTGTGAGAGGATCTGGATTGGATCTTCAGAACCACAGGGGAATAAACTGTAAGCAATTTGCTACATCAATAAGGAAATTTCTACAAATTTAATTCTGGAAGAGATTAAGGTACATGATCACCCTTATGGATGTGGACCCCAAGGAAAGCTTCATTCCTGTGCTGAGTATCCAGGAGGCTCCCGCTGCTGCCACATAGTGGCTGGGCCTGATGTGTCTCAGCACTGCAGCAGGGGCACAATAAATTCCCAGGGGAAGTGCTAATAAATCCTAGCATGATGTAGCACTGCACAATTTTTAAGGCATTTTCATAACCTTGACTCGTTGGTAGTTCGGGACATTATCCCCTTTTACAGAAAGGGCTATGGGAAGTAAAATGGTCCAAGATCACGTGGTTGATTATGGGCTGCCGCTGCAGTTTTCTCATAGTATGGGCCTTGGCTCACAGCTGTTCTCCTGCTTTATAGTTCATCTCTATCTCTGCTACCTAAATCCCAAGCTCTCAAAACAAGTCCCCTCGAGGTTGAAAGCCTCATCTCAACCCAAGGAATGCAATCCAAAGGCAGATTCAGGTCCCACATAGAACCAGGTGAGAGCAAAGCATCACAGTCATCAGCTCAACAACAGAGGGGCTGGAGTGACCAGCTACATCCACCCTGAACAGTACGTCCTGATGGACAGGAGCCCAGACCCCCATACTCCAACACTAGTTCTGTGACCTTGAGCAACTAACTCATTCTATTTTTGCCATGTATAAATGGGGTAACTAACTGCTGCCCTCCACACTATATAAGGCTCAGATGAGGCGAGTTGCAAGGCCAATCTGAGGGCTGTCATGGCTTTGCCCCTGCAGCGGTGGGTCTGGGMAGACATGCTGGTCTTCAGGGTTGGGTGGAAATGTAAAGTACACATCTGTCAGGAATGTTGTCTGCCTGTCAGAATTCAGCCTTGGGCCATTCCCTATTTCAGTTTTCTCTTTACTCAAGATTTCTAGAACACAGTGCTTAGTCATCTATTCAGGTGGAGGTTTCAATTATTTGGTTAGAACTGAAGGCACTTTGATTCCTTCTGCCTTGTAGTAAACTTATATTGCTATATAAAGTACCATTTTAAAGCCCCAAATCATTGGAACTTGACTGTTTTATATGGTTCAAACTAATGAATGCATACAGTCTGTTTAAACCACAAGGGGATCAGGTACTGCATCCCCAAATGAAAAGCGAGAGAATACRCTTTAGCACCATCAGAGCTTCAAAACCAGCAAGGGAACTGACAGGTCAGAATGCTGAGCTCCAAAACAGGTGCGGGCTCTGGGAAGATGCCACCTTTCTCTGCTGGAGGAGCTGGCMTCTGAGGGCCTGGCCCTTTGGCCTTTTCTCTTGGTCACTTTATTTAAAAAAATGGGTTTGGGGGGTTTCCTTGGTCACATCTGAGTTAAGCAATCTATGTGGAGCATATCTACAACTACCCAAATCCCAGTTTTTCTCCTAAGACAATTGGGAAAAATACCTGTGGTTGCTTAGCAAGTCACCTGCTGATCTTTCCCCTGAGATAACAGTCAAATCTCCCAGGTTGAAATCCTGACCTGAAGGGTTAGGTAGGGACCATTTTAGACTTGCCTGGTTGCTGGTGAGGGGGTTTTTGATCTGGGCTCCAAGACTAGCCCAAACCTAAGTTACTGTGGGTAACTTAAGGCAGCTCTTGCTTTCAGAACCTGTCTCCCCAAATGTACAATGAGGTCAGGTTGATCTATGAGGTCCTCCCAGCTTGGCCATTCTGAGTGAGTGGTAGCAGCCTGCTGGTCATTCATTCATTGCCTGGGAGGAAAGGGACTTTGTAAACTTTTCAGGTCAGGGTGGGTTTAGGACACAGCTGCCCTTAGAAGGCTTCCAGTCAAGCTGGAAAGACAGGATCCAGATGTGTGGACTTTACAGTAAGAGAGATTATTGTGGGCTGAGAAGACTGAGACAGGCAAAGAGAAGAAAGACTTTTCCTGCGCCATGTGGGGTGGGGTGGGGGTGGGGTGGGGTGGCACAGAGGCAGAGGCAGAACTGACAGTTCCGACTGGAGCCTCTTTGAAAAGAGCAACAGGACCTGCATGAGGCTAAGCCGAGGAGGGCAGACTAGAAAAGCCTTGAATGCTAAGGGAAGGTGAGTTTTGTTTTTCATTTTTGTAGTTCTTGGGAGTTCTAGGCAGATCCCTCTAGTTTTAGGTTTAGAAGATGAAAATGAGAGAGGGTTCAGACCAGGAAGTAAAAAACCCTTGCAGTTGCTCTGAAGGGAGGTGACGTGGACAAGCTGAAGTAGGTGGAGAGCTGACATATCAAAGAAACTTAAGGAACAGAAGAGCCACCGCTGTGCGACTCTCAGGCGGGTATTTACTGTGTGCTTACTATGTGCCAGGAGGGTCTAGGCGCTGTATGAAGACGGTTCTCTGGCTGAGCACAACTGCACTGACAAAGCCAGAATGCTGAAGCTCACTTGTGGGTACGGGTACGTCCCCTTCAGAAACCTGCACTGAAAGTAGTGTAGCGGAAGCCATGGTGGTGGGGGAAAGGGCAGCAGCAGTGTTGGGGACACGTTTGAAACTAGCCCGGGAAGAGGTTCAAAACAACCCACTGGTGGGGGAGCGCTGGGCCCGGGAGAAGGTCTTAGAAAGCAAACCGGCCACGCCAGGGACAAGCGCGCCTGGGGCCCACTGCGCGGTGGGTCCCTAGGGAAGCCGGGGGATGCTGATGGCCCCTTCCCAGAGCCGCAGGGCCGGGTACAGCGGCTCCTGGAAGACCGCGCGGAAGGTGTGCAGGTGGCTCATGCCGCCCGTCACGTCGTAGAAGGCGAGGACGCCGGCCTCGTAGTCCAGGAAGACGCCCAGCCGGTCGGGGTCATCGCGGGGCCTCAGGCGACTGCGCTGGCAATCGTGGAAGGCCCAGTATTCCAAGTCGAAGCGCTTGAGGCACCAGGACTGGCGGTTGCAGCCCAGGCGGGCAGCGGCCGAGGCCCCGCGGCGCCGCAGGGAGGGGTAGGCGGCGCCCACCCACCAGCCGGAGCCCGCCTCCTGCAGGTCCACTTCCCAGTAGTGGCGGCCGGCGGCGAAGCAGTCGCGACCCAGCACCTGCCACAGCGCGTCGAAGCGCCTCGCGGGAGTCGGTCCCAGGCGGCCCAGCAGGCTGCTGCGCACCGTCAGGCCGTCGGCGGAGAGGCGCAGGCGCTCGTGCATCGTGTCCGGATCCAGCGTGGGCGTGCGCGCGTCTGTGGGGGGCGGGGACACGGATACGCGTGGTGGGCGGGGTCATCTCCGGACACGCCCCCGCGCCACACTGGTGAGCAGGGCAATTGCCAGAAGGCGCGAGGGAAAGCCACCCTTTACCCCCATTTCCTCGGCGGCTGGAGGAAGGGGAAGGAGAGATAATTTTACCGTATATATCCTTTTTAATGTTTGAATTTTGTACCTTGGAATTTACAGCCAGTCTCTAAAAATTTATTAAAAAGAATCCTATCACTGTTAACACTGGGTGTGTGTCCTTCCAATCTTTTTCTGTCCTTAACTTGACGTTTAGTTTTTCTTAACATTGGTATCATACTCCACATGCTCTTACGTAATCTGATTTTTAAAATTTACTGAGACATCGATGAACACTTTACCACATCAGATACTCTAAAGAGAACATTTTGCAGGGCGCCGTGGAGAAATCAGTGGGCTCCACCTAGGTGAGCCCAGTGTAGTCAATTACAGGAGTTGGGTTGGTTATTTATTTATTTTACTTGTAGTTGGACACAACRTCTTTATTTATTGTTATGTGTTGCTGAGGATCGAACCCAGCTCCTCGCACGAGCTAGGCGAGCCCTCTACGGCTGAGCCACAACCCCAGCCCCATATTAATTAAAGCCGAAAGGGAGGCAGAGTTGGGCGGAGATGTGCTCACAGGAGGGGCAGAAAGATGGATACTTGCTAACTTTGAAGATGGAAAGAATGGCTATGAGCCAAGGAATTCAGGCAGTCTCTAGTGACAGGAAAAAGGCAAGGGGCTGGGTCTTCCCCAGAAAGAAGCCCAGCCTTGATTTTGCCAGTGATTTTGTTGCACTTACATCCTACGGAACTGTAGATACGGAACTGTAATAAGGAAAAATACCTGTGGTTGCTTAGCAAGTCACCTGCTGATCCTTCCCCTGAGATAACAGTCAAATCTCCCAGGTTGAAATCCTGGCCTGAAGGGTTAGGTAGGGACCATTTTAGACTTGCCTGGTTGCTGGTGAGGGGGATTTTGATCTGGGCTCCAACACTGGCCCAGACCTAAGTCACTGTGGGTAACTTAAGGCATTTGGGGTAGGGGACACTGCTGGGGATGGAACCCAAGTCCGCTGGCATGCCAGCAAGTGCTCTACCACTGAGCTACAACTCCAGCCCCAAATTTATGTTAAGTCACCAAGTTTGTAGTACAGAAAATAACACTATCTTGATGCATAAGCATGATCTATCCTTCCATTTATTTAAACTGTCTTTAAATTCTTTAGTAATGTTTTTAGAGTTTTCTGTGGAGAGGTTTTACATATCATTCCTACTTTAGATTCATTCCTACTTTTAAAGAAAATGTTACTGAAAATAGCGTATTTTTAAAATTTCATTTTCTCCCCAGCAGCTCCAGAGGCTGAGGCAGGAGAATCACAAGTTCAAAATCAGCCTTGGCAAATTGGCCAGGCCTTAAGCAACTTAGTGAGACCCTGTCTCAGAATAAAAAATAAAAATGGGCTGGATAAGTGGTTCAATGATTAAATGCCCTAGGTTCAATCCTCAGTACCAAAATAAATAGAGAAAGAAAGAAAAAATGTATGTTCAGTAATTCTTTGAGAAATTATTCCTAAAAAATAATCAGAAAATAAGCTAAGGCATATTCATCCACTCATTAATCAATTCAACAAAAATGAACAAAATGGATTGAAAATGTAAACCTTTCTAAATGTTCAGCAATATGAGAATGGTTAAATATGATCCATTCATGAATAATAATGTATTATTGAAATAGAAAAGTATTTAAGCTATACTGTTATGTTAAAAGAATATAATAGAATATAAAATATGAAAGAATATGCTTCCAATTGAAAATACCCACATATGTATGTTTTGTAATGTCTGAAAAAATAGATAAAAATATTAGCAGCATTTATTTCTGGGAGAGGTAGTTGTTTTCCTTTGTACACCTATATTTTCTGATTTTCTTCAAGATTTGCCTCTATAATTTTCTTTTATTTACTTATTTGTTTTATTTATTTTTTTGGAAGTTGTAGATGGACAGCATGCCTTTATTTTATTTGTCTCATTTTTATGTTGTGCTAAGGATCCAACCTAGTGCCTCACACATGCTAGGCAAGCACTTTGCCACTGAGCTATAGCCTCAGTCTCTCTCTCTTTTTTTTAAATTTTTTAAAATTTTATATGTTCTTTTTAGTTACACATGACAGTAAAGTCCACTTTGATATAACTATACAATATAATTATATCTTATTCTAATTAGGACCTCAGTCTTGTGGATGTACATGATAGTGAGAGTCACTTTGGTGTATTCMTATATGTACATAGGGAAGTAGTCAGAGTCATTCCACTGTCTTTCCTTTTCCTGTCTCCTCTCCCTTCYGTTCATTCCTCTTTCTCTAAYCCACTGAACTTCTATTCTCCTYCCACCCACCCCCCTCCTGGCAGGATTTGCCTCTATTATTTTCTTCCTACTATTTTTTTCTTTCAGTGCTGGGGATCAATCCCAGGGGCCTTTGTATGCTAGGCAAACACACTACCTGTGAGCTACATCCCGGCCTCTTACCCTTAATTTTTAAGGGAACAGAGATATTCACAATATATCAGTAAATGAAAACACAGACTATAAAAGAATGTGTATAGTATGATACYGTGTTACATCATTATATGTACATTAGCTATGCAAAATAAAAAAAAGGTAAAAGGACAAATCATACTAGTTAAATATGGGAAAGATTTTCAGTAATATCCTATGTTTTCTAATTTTTCTACAATGAACATCTATTATTAAAAGACTACTAATAAAAGTTCTTGAAAAAAAGCAAAACACAAGTTGGGACTCTTTAACAGAAGACGGGGGGGGGGGGGCTCTCATTGCTCTTCCCCCCTGCACCTGTCCTTCCCATCCCCTCCACCCTCTCTCCACTCTTGGGGTCTTACATTTTAAGAAGAGCGATCTCTCTGGTGAGGGGCTTGTTTTCAGCAGGGCCCCAAGTGTGGTGCTGGAGGAGCCTGAGAGCTGGCAGTTGATGTCTGAAATGAAGAGTGAGAAATGATCGCCTAGAGCTCTGCGAGCAGCACAGATCCACACACAAAAAAGATTCGCACACTCTCCCCTCCTGGGAGACGCAACCGGAATAGGAAATGCAAATTCACAGCGACCCAGATGCTCCAGGACCACAAGCAGCTGGCGGGGGCAGGCCATGGAGAGCCCCAGAGTAGATGAGCTCCTGAGTGCAGCACTCTGGGATGGGAGGCAGCCTCCAGGTGGAGGTTGATGCCAAACCATTAGAGCTGAGTCCTGGGAAGGATCCAGTTCTAAGAAAAAGGGCGGGAGGCTGTCCCTTCAAGAGCATTCAGGGGGGCACCTTGGTGAGTTCACCACCTCCCCAGACCATCTCCTCAGARGCACCTCTGCCTACCCATCGCTCTCAGGGCACTCATTCATGGCCTGCGATGGTTGTGGGAGGCCAACCTCTAGAACTCTAGAACCATCCATCCTATTACCTGTGTGAGATCAGCACATGGTAGCTCAAACCTCCCACACCCAGTAGGTCCAAACAGTCCTTCCCTCCAATCCTAAGGGCCCCTTCCCATTTCAGAAAATGGGACCTTCCTTCTTTTACTACAAAAGCAGGAGCTATGTCATGGGCCCTTTGGGCCTGCCACATAGTAGGGTTCTGTCAGCATTCTGAGCAAAGCATCACAGCGGTGAGTGACTAAAGGAGTCAGGAAAGGACCTCTAAGTACCTGGTTTGTGCCAGGCCCTGTGGGGACCTTGGAGCTGTACCCAAAATGGTCTCTGCCCTTCAGGCATTTGTGAGGCCCTGAATCTATCTCATCAACACCCCAGGAAGGACATGGGTGGCAGAGAAGAAGGGGAGAGGAGTGAGGGCTGGCCACCCTGCTGGGAGCCCAGAGTGGGCAAACCTGAGATGTGACAGGGTTGCAGGAATGGTTGGGACAGAGCAGAGCCCTGTGGCTGGGGAGAGGCAGGCAGACACCATCTTGGGAAGGGTAGGAGGAGATGTCGGAGTCATAAGTGGGGGCTGGGCACCAGGCCCAGGAGCCCTTGCCTGCCCAGACAAGGGCCTGTGTGAGAGGGAGACACGATTTAGGGTGGCCACCCTTGCAGTTGTCTCTGGGTGACARGGCACTTGGGAGTTAAGGACTCAAAGTTGGTCACATGGCGACTTACTTTCCTTCAGGCGAACGTCTAGTGGTGTCTGAAACGTACTCTGCATGGCTTCCGCCAGGCCCTTAAAGAGACTCTTGATGGGCTCGAAGGACAGGGGCACGGGGTGGCTCAGCTCCCCGAGGCTCATGTGCTGCTTCATCTCCTGCTCAGTGGCTGTGTAGGCCTGTGTGGGTGGCACAGGGGTCAGGGCAATGCTGGAGGTTGCAGGCGGCATCCCAGCCTCCATTGYGGCACCCAGGAACAAGCCCAGACCAGGCACCAGACCCCAGCTTACCCCAGCACCCTGGCTAGCCCAGGCCGTGTCCCCAGAGCAGCACCACAGAGACAGCCTACGGGCCTGAGTGGAAGGCATGCGGAGGTCATTTCAGGGCTGGTGCTGCGGAGTCCCTCCTTCCTTCCCTCCCTCCGAGTTTCCCTCCCTCCCTTCCCAGTGCTCTGAGGCCTCCCCCACGCTAGCTTTGAGGAACAGAGGCAGGAGCCAGTGACTACCTGGCCTTAGGTGCTCTCCATCTCTGGGGTCCCTCCCTATGAGGCTTCAGCCTGGAGACACTTAACAGGGGTCTACCTCAGGCACAGGGCCCCAGAAAGAGAGGCCAGTCTTCCTGAAGGAAGAGTCCATTTTGGGGCTTGTCCACAGGATAGAGCAGGAGACCATGTCCCAGGAGGGAAACTGAGGACCCTGGAAGGTTCAGTTGTGGCCACCACAGAGGGCATGTGTCCTGTTCTCCAGCTGACAGCCRCCTTAGCTGTGTGGCTTTGCTAAGTGGAAGCCAGGAAACTCCCCCTTCCCAGCCCTCTTTGCACCAGGGCACAGGCCTGTGATGAGATCCCACCAACTCAAGTCCAGGATTTGGAAGTGAGGGGGAGGTAATGATGGTGGCATGTGACTCTCAGGGACAGTGGCGCTGGAGGCCTGAGGTCTTGCCCAGCAGAAGCATGGTGGGGTCTACACCAGCATCAAACCCCCTGTGGCCTGGTCTTTCCTCCTGACTCTCTGGTCCTCCTGGAGGTCCTGTGGGTGACCTCATACTCCTTCACAGACTCTCTGTTGTTGTTTTTGTGGCCCAACCCAACCCAGGGACATGTGCCACCAAACTACATCCTCAGCCCTTTTTATCTTTTATATTGACATAGGGTCTCATTAAGTTGCTCAGGCTGGTCTTGAACTTGCGATTCAAGACCTATCTCAGCCTAGGAGTAGCTGGGGTCACAGGCATGCCCCCGCCTCTCTTGGCTCATCAACTCTTCCCTGGCTTTAAACCATTATATTCCTATACTAGGATTATGAGCCTGTATTCTCAGGTTTCAAAAGGGTTGTCCTGGGCAAGGAGGGAGATGGCCCCAGGTGAGCAGGCCTTGGCTGGCAGGCTGAGCTACCCCACAAGGCCTGGGTGGATGGGTGCCCCACCTGGCGGGAGCCTATGTGTTGGGAGGGGGCTGGGGGAGGCCTCCAGGATCACCTGGCTGAAGAAGGCAAGGGTCCATACTCATTTTGGTGGGAACCAGGGCTAAGGTTCCACTTAGAGCTGGCCAGGGGACAGAACACAAGCAGAAAATCCAGGGGTGGCCGGAAGCAGCCCCGAGAAGGTGGGAGGCTGGCCCAAAGGGCATGTAGGTGGGGTAGAGCTCCCCAGTTTTGTCCCCAATAGAGGACAAAACGCTGCCATCTGGTAACTCAAGCACCCATTTCTGATGGGACCTGACGCACAGTAGATTCTCAACAGATCTGTATGATGGATTAAATGAGTGAAATTGAGCACATCTGACTTGCGCCTTTGTAGACTCAGAGAAAAATCCCCACCCAACCCAGCCGCCATTTCTCAAGCAGGAAACCCAAGTACCACCTTGGATCCATCCTCACCCTCCTCTTCCAAACTCCACTCCTGTTGCGTCTCTGAACCTGCCTTTCCCACCCTACTACCCCTACCTGGGTCCCGGCCACCTTCATTTCTCCCCTGGACCCCGTGGTCTCCCCTCCAGCACCCCGCCCAGCCTCCGGCCTTGGGGGGACCCCAGTCCATTCCCACCCCGTCACCTAAGTAACATGCCCAAGCCAACGCTTTCATTCCTCAGTTCCAAACATGCCCCTGGCTGCCATCTCTTTACAGGACAAAGTCTCAACTTCTGGCTTGGCACATGAGGCCCGTCATGAACTGACCTAGCTCCATCTCTCAAGACCACCTGCCTTACACCTGCCCCTCCTCAAGCCAGGCCACCCCAGGTAGTTCTCCGGCCTGCCAGGTTCTCATGGGTCCATATTTCCTTCCTGCCCGGATGTCCTCTCTGAATTGTCCCTCTGTAAACACCTACTCATTTTCCCACACCCCCCTCTACAGCGGCCTCCTMCTAGAAGTCTTCCCTGACCTGGCCCCACCCCCAGAGAGAGTCAGATCATTTCTTGGACATACTTTTGCTAACTTGCTTGAGCTGCTTTGCATACATCTGTTTCTTAGCATGTCTCTCTGCCCCACTGTGAGCTCCTCACGTTCTGCAGATGGCCCGGCTCAGTGTGTAATGGAGGAATACATAAATGAACAGGAGAGAGGGATGACGAATGGTCAAAACCAGGAGCTGTGGCACAAGAAAATGGAAGAAAGCGATGCCAAAGCCCCGAAGCTATGTTTTACGATACCAGAATCTCCTCGGGAGAGGTGTCTTAACACTCTAAGCAGAGCCAGGCACGGTGTGCACACCTGTAATCCCAACTACTTGGGAGGCTGAGGCAGAAGGATTGCAAGTTCAAGGCCAACCTGGACGACTGTCTCAAAATAAAAATGAAAAAAAAAAAAAAAAAGGACCGAGTAGCTGTTGTGGTGGATCACACCTATCTTCCTAGCAACTCCGGAGGTGAGGCAGGAGGGTCACAAGTTCCAGATCAGCCACTGCATGCAACTCAGGAGACCCTGTGTCTAAATAAAATATTAAAAAGGGCTGGGGATGTAGCTTAGTGTTAGAGCATCCCTGGGTTCAATTCCCAGTACAGTAAAAGAAAAATCAAACAACAACAAAAACAAAAAAAACACTGCCTTGTGGATTGGATTGGTTAAGATACATCTGGGTATGACCCCAGCTCTGCCATCTGGCAGCTATGTGAGCCCACTTCACCTCCCTGAGCCCCAAATCCTCATTTGCAAAAATGGGATGAGAAGTCCACTTTGTAGAGTTGTAGTAACTATCAGAGCTGAGATACAAAAAATGCTTAGAACACCAAAGCCCTCGAAGATGGTGTTTGCCGATACTATTTAATTAGTCCAAGATGTCTACCATCTTCCTGACAACATGCACTCTCTGCACACTCGTGCACGAGCAAGAAATTCCACCTGCAGACAAGCAGATCTCCATGCCCTTTACATGTTACAGGAACACTGTGCTCAGGGCCATAACASCCGAGGTGGAATGGGGTGGCATGTGGCAGCAGCACGAGCAGAGACCCCAGCATTACCTGCAGCAGTTGAACAGGGTTGGGCTCCTGGCTGATACCCCAGACCCTGCTGGACAGACTGCCCATGACGTCAATCTGCTTCCTGCAAGACTCCACTTGCTCCCTGTACACCTGGAGGGCCCCCTGCAGGTTTTTATCAATGAATTTTTTGGCCAGCATTTCCTCTTCATCAAGTAGTAATCTGAGTTCAGTGAATTTGTCCATCAGCCAGGTTTTACTTGACTCTGCGTGAACCTTAAAAGAAAACCAGTGGCAGATGATAAGTTGTTTGCCAATCAAGATTTCCAGAATAACTGACATTGAAAAAAAAAAAACTTATAATGCCTACAAACTAAGTTTAGTAAAGTGGCAGATACAAGGTCAACTCATAATAATTAAAACTTGTGTAAGTACTGGCCAGCACCCATCGGAAAGTGCATGGAGAAATAAAGATGCTTTTTTGTCTTGCTTTGGGACCGAGTATTGAACCCAGTGGTGCTTAACCACTGAGCCACATCCCCAACCCTTTTTTATATTTTKTTTAGAGACAGGGTCTTGCTGTGAGGCTAAGGGCCTCACTGCTGAGGCTGGCCTTGAACTCCCAATCCTCCCGCCTCAGCCTCTGGAGCTGCTGGGATTTCAGGTGTGCGCCACTGTGCCCAGCTAATAAAGATGCTTTTTAAAGTAAGGAGGAAAATATAAAAATATCTAAAAATAAACTTAACAGAAATGGAAATGGTCTGGGAGTGGAGCTCAGTGGCAGAGCACTTGCCCAGTTATCTGCAAGGCCCTGAGCTTGATTCCCAGCACCTAGATAAAGAAAAGAATAAAACTGTACTGAAAGAAAAACCTTCCAACTGCATGGAAGAAAAAAACCATAGCATGGGAGGAAAAGACGAGCTCTAGATAGGGCAGAGGGTGGGAAGGAAGGGAAGGGGCAGGGGGCTAGCAATGATGGTGGGATGTGATGGACACCATCATCCAAAGTGCATGCATGAAGACACAAATTGGTGTGAACATACTTTATATACAACCAGAGATACGAAAAACTGTGCTCTGTATGTGTAATAAGAAATGTAATGCATCCACTGTCATTTATTTTTTTTAAAAAAATCAATAAAATATTTTTTTAAAAAAAACACATCCCTGATTGGGAAGATTCATTACTCTAAAGACACCATTTTTCCCCTTATAGGAACTGATCCTACAAAATGTGCTCACATGAGCGTCACAACCATGTGATTCTCTCTATAGCATTATCCATGGAGTACAGAGAAGAGTTGGGTGCAGTTTCCAATATGGGACATGCATGTATGTTACTTATATAAGTTATGCTACATTCATACGGTGAAATAATTTATAATAATGAAAAAGAATGCATTGTTCTCACATATGTTACAACATGGATGAACCTCCAAGACAYTTTCCTAAGTAAAATAAACCAGCCACAAAAGAACAAATAATGTTATGATCGCATTTACACAAAATGCCTAGAATAGGCAACACAGAGACAGGAAGCAGAGTAGAGGTTACCAGGGGCTGGGGGAGGAGGAGTGGGAAGTGACTGTTCAATGGTTTCAGAGTTTCTATTTTGGGTGATGTTGTACAACCTTGTGAATGCAACTACCACCCAGGAATGAACACTTAAAACTGGCTGATTTTATGTTACGTATATTTTACCACCATAAAATATATATACATGAAGAACACAGTAGAGCTATGTGTCCTGGCTTGGTGGCAAGGAGCAAGWGTCCAATTAACATATGCACAATAATCCCACTTACATAAAACATAGCAAACACTGCACAAGGACACCTCCCTGGGTATGTTTACTAGTGCAATGAAAATGTTAGCAGAGGTCCTGTCTGGAAGGAGGGGTGGGATTGGAGAGGTAGGAATGACAGGCTCTCACTTTATTATTTCACTTATGAAATAATAAAATAGAAATCAATTGGGAAAAAAACTCCAAAACCACAGGCCAGCTCCTTTCCTCAGCCCAAACATCTGTGTAACCCACGTAGCAGAAGGACCCCTATACCTGGCTGGGCTTGGGGCAGGCTCCCCATGTTCTCTTCTTAGTGGGACTACTGTGTGGTTTGCAAGACCCAGGAGATGAGCTCCCCAGCTGGGTTTCCTCTATGGTTCTTTAGGCGGTGCTTGGCTTCTGGGGCTAGCTCATCCCACAGACCTCATGGATTCAATTGGCTTTAGGATGGGGGGGGCTTGGTCTGCATTGCTGGCCCTGACAACAAAGTTGCAGTAGGTCCATGCACCTAAACATGAATACATCTTCACTGAATGACCAAGGGAAGGAAAGAAAATGTGTTCCAAACCCTGGCGAGATGAACATGCTGGAGGCAACGTAATAAACAAGAGGCAGRTGTCTCCTCCTAACCAAGCTGTGCCAAGCAGTGCCTTAGTCAAGAGCAATACACAGAAGAGGCTTCATGACACCACACCCAATGCCGGAGGAACGATTAAAGACACCAGAAGAGCTGGGTGAGGTGGCGCATGCCTGTAATCCCACCAGCTAGGGAGGCTGAGGCAGGAGGATCAAGAGTTCAAAGCCAGCCTCAGCAAAAGCAAGGAGCTAAGTTAACTCGGTGAGACTCTGTCTCTAAATAAAATTAAAAAATAGGGCTGGGGATGGGGCTCAGTGATTGAGTGTCCAAGTTCAATCCCCAGTGCCAAAAAGAAAAAAAAAAAAAAACCAACAAAAAACCGCAGAAGACTTCCTGTCTAAGCAGCTAGGGCTGGTTACACAACACAGCTAAGACAGGGGAGGGGAGGGGGAGGAGAGCGCTGATAATGAAACAAGGAAGTGCTGGCTTGGGCCACAGGGATTCAAAATGGAACTGGACCCCAGGTGGAACTGGCTGGGGTTTGGACACAGCTGGGTGCAGCTGGTGGCTGCTAAGAGCCTGACGGGGTCCAGCTGAGAGGAGCCTTAGGATTCTGAGAAAGAGGGAGACCAACCACGGAGCCCTGGGTCAGGGAAGGGCGGGGGGGTTTTGTCCATGGAGAGCTGTCCACTATGTGAATCCATCTTGGGGTCCCATGGAGAGTGAGGGGACTGTGAGGAAGATGCAAAGAGCAGCTTCCTGAAAACTCAGTATGACACTGGACAGCCCTKCGGGGCACCTCTCCTGGGCTGTGCCACCTGGGAAGGGAGCCAGGYTCTCCAACCCTGCCCAGGCCACAGGAGCTTTGGGGCCCCCAGGACTGTGATATGGTGGCTGTGGCTGTCCCGAGGAGGGGTAGCCAGGGCCAACAGGGGAGACCAGTGACGTCAACATCAACAGCAAGACCTCACAGGGTCCTCGTCTTTCCATTTCCAGTCTGGCAAAGGCTGGCTCGTGTCACCCCCTTGGTCCCCTGCTTGCATGCTCTGATTCCATTCCTGCAGCTTTGGTGGGTCCCAGAGTAAGATCTGAGGCTATTGAGTTCAGCCTCCAGCAGTTACTGTGTCGCATGCCAGCCTGGGCCCCTGTATCTCAGGTCCACATTTTTTTTTTTTTTTTTTTTTTTGGTACTGGGATTGAACCCAGCGGCTCTCAACCACTGAGCCACATCCACAGCCCTTTTTTAAATTTTATTTAGAGACAGGGTCTCACTGAGTTGCTTAGGGCCTTGCTAAGTTTCGGAGGCTGGCTTTGAATTTGTGATCCTCCTGCTTCAGCCTCCTGAGCTGCTGGGATGACAGGCGAGTACCCCTGCACCCTGCTCAGGTACTTCTGCTTTGTTCTGTAGGGCAGAGGGCTGAGCCCTGCAGGCTGAATTTCCAAAATCCTCCTCCATGGTTTGGTTATAGAGAGAGGAGCTAGAGGGAGACCAGAGCGTGAGGCAAGGGGGCTGCCCTAGGCTCTCCCTGAGTCCCTTTCGTCCTCCGGTTCCCCCAGGGCAGGCCTGGTCTGGTTCTAGCTTCTGCCCTGGGGCCCTGGCCCCTGTACGCTGCTAACACTGGCCCAGGGGCTGGGGTGTCTCATGACCTCTGGTTGACTTCTTGGTCTCTTCCATGATTGAGCCATAGTTCCCTGGGACATCCCTCTGCTGGACCCCTCAGAGTGGTTCCTGTCTGGGTACACATGGTGGATGCAGCTCTAGCCCAGGTCCCACCTCGCCATGTGACCAGTGAGAAATTATTTCCTCGCTTTTTGTTTTGTTGACCAGGCTGGCTTCCAACTCCTGGGCTCAAATGATCCTCCTATCTCAGCCTCCTGAGTAGCCTGGACAATAGGCTCCTGCCACCACACCCAGCCTTGAGCCTCATCTAGAATGGCCCTTGGCTCTGACAGCCTAAGTTGTTCTTTTTTTTTATTCTGTACTGAGGGTTGAACTCTGGGCTTCACACATGCTATGCAAGTGCTCTGCCAGTGAGTGATCTACATCCCAGCCCTTTTTATATTTTATTTTGAGACAGGATCTTATTAAATTGCCCAGGCTGGGCTCAAACTTGCCGTCCTCCTGCCTCAGCCTCCTGAACAGTTGGTATTATAGATGTGTGCCACTGTGCCTAGCTAGCCTATGCACATTCTAAATCCCTAGCCTATATCTGGATTTGATAGTAATCAATTAAAAAAATCACACACACACACACACACACACACACACATATACTTTCTTATAATTTTTAAAAGAATCAAAAGCTTACTGCAGAAAATTTGGAAGACTCAGGCTAGGTGTGGTGGCATAATCTCATAATCCCAGCTACTGGGGAGACTGAGGCAGGAATATCACAAATTTGAGGCCAGCCTTGTCTCAAAATTTAAAAATAAAAAAAAGGACTGGGGATGTAGCTCAGTGGTAGAGTACTTGTTTAGCATGTACGAAGCCCTGGGTTCACTTATCAGTACTGAAAAAAAAAAAAAAAGAAAATTTGGAAGAAACCGGGAAGAAGAACATAGAAGAGATGTAGTGTCATCCATTCCCATTTGAGTAGAGCAGATTGCAGGCGGGTRTTAGATTTTCCCTGCACCTGGATATATTGGCCCTAAGGTGCCATGATGGGGGAAGCCTATTAACAAGGATGTGACCATAAATGGGTGTTGACTGGGGATTAATGACCAAGTCCTTCTCAATTGTGCCCTAAAAAGGGAGTGGGTGGGTGATTAATCCTGGTCACTGGCTTCTGTACAACAGACTCTGGACCTTGCACAAACTTTATTGATCTGTTTACAAGGCTGTTTCCATGCGAATGGTCTTTCCCCTCATTTGCCACTGCAGGAGGCGTGGTTRCCCCAACCTCTCTGCCACAAACCACGTCAGCCGCAACTCCACAGGATGCCTTAGGTTTCTCACACATGCTGTGCCTATTGCAATGTGTCCCTTCTAGGATCCTGTCCCAAAGGAGGCAAACCAAGGGGCCAAAATATGTTCTCTGCACTACTGTTTTTGCACTAGGGGAAAACCAGGTAAAATCTAACTGTTCRACATGCAGAAAATGGCTTAATGAATCATGGAATATACAGACAATGGAATATACAGCCTTTAACACCGACCTTGGCAGCACGCAACCCCAGCTACAGGTTGGCTAGGCAGGACCTCCGGGGTTCAAGGCCAGCCCKGGGAAATGGACATAAATATTTTCTGATTCTGATATTACACTATAGCTATGTAAGAGGTACACAATTCTTGGGGGCAAACCAGGAGGAGGTACACGAAACTTCTGTGTACTATCTTTGCACTTTCCTTTGGATCTATGATTATTTTAAATCAAAAAGTTGCTGGAACCTCCACAGCCCTTAGGCCCTCCACGAGGGTCCTATGTCTTTCCCTGGGGACCCCCAAAACCGTATCTGCTGAGGGATCTGCAGGCAGCGGACCTGCACCCTGGCTGTCTTCTTCAGGACCAACAGCCGGGCGCCTCCCTCACCCTCTGCAGGGAGGTACTTTCCAACTTGCCAACTTTCGTTTTCCAAGTTCTTTTGAACAGTCGTACCTTCCTGAGCCCAGAGTCCTGCTTTTGGAGACGTTGAGGGACACTATTAATTATTAAACAGAGGCCATAAGTGTGAGCCACAAAAGTCTCTTCACACTGGGGCATGTAGACACCTGGTAGATAACAGAGGTCAGGCAAAGATGGAGGTCTCTTTATGGCCTTATCATGCTGTGGTTTCCAGGCCCTGCTCCACGCTACTGTGGGCCTGGCTTGGGAAGAGCTGGTGCCAGCGGCTCCCCCAGCCAGAGCCAGTCTTCCCCTCTGCCTTGTCAGTCAGCGGGGCCAGGCCTCTGTGAGGCGGGACCCTGTAGGGCATCCCCCATCCCAGCCCTCACTGTGAGGARGGAGCCGCTGAGGCCCAGGGGAACAAGGACCCACCTGAGTTCTCACAGAAGGCGCCTAAAGAGGCGACCACTTTTTCATAGTCAAAGTGGCAACTCACAGTGTCAGACCCAACTTTGTGCCCCMAAACCCTCAAAAGAATCCAGTTAAGTAAAGATTGTACAGCTGGGCCCAGAGGCACAGGCCTGGGATTCCAGCTACCTGGGGGCTGAGGAAGGACAGTCACAAGTTTGAGGCCAGCCTGGGCAACTGAGTGTCGTCCTGCCTCAAAATAAAAGAATAAAAAAGGCTGGGGATGTAGCTCAGTGGAGAGCAGCACCCCGGGCACAATCCCCAGAGCCAATAAAAAAAATAAGGAAATAGATACAGAAAATACACATTGTATGAAAGGGAAAGCATGAAGCAGTGTGTATTTATACAATATGTGTATACCTTATTTAATTTCGTTCATGACAGAGACCTTAAGAGAGATTTGTATGTTCAGTAAGCTGAATTTTTATTGGTACTGGGATTGTACCYAGGGGCACTTAACCACACAGCCACACTCCCAGCACCAGCCCCCTCCTTTTTATAAATTTAGAGACAGGGTCTCACTAAGTTGCTTAGGGCCTTGCTAAGCTGCTGAGCAGCTGGCTTTGAACTCATGAYCCTCCTGCCTCAGYTTCCCAAGCCGCTGGGATTACAGGCGTGCGCCACGGCGCCCAACTAGTAGACTGCATTTTGCTCTATTTAAGGCAATTTGGGGTGTGGGAGGTGGAGGTCTAGAAGCCCCAGGAGAGAAGAGCAGCTGCTACAAGATGGCGCCTTGGMGGTGGCAGGAGGTAAGGCTGGGGCGCTGGCCCAGGTAGATTCTCCCCGTGGCTGATGATGCGGCAGTCTCAGGGCCCTCACTTGCGTGCCCACTTCATGGTTCTGCATTGAATTTGTCCGTCAGCTCCAGGCCCACCCACCCTGACTGCCCCTTTAAAATTGGTCTTTATTTTCCCTGATGCCATACTAGGGGACACTCACGTCTGAGGGGAAATGTGGATAGCCCCACTGGAAGAGGGAAGAAGCGTCCACTTGCCTTGAGCTTCTCGGCTGCATCTTCTATCTGGGTGATGTTGCCAACTTGATGCTGCTTCTTGGTCTCCAGTTGCTGTAAACATTCTTGGATGAGTTTCTGTAGGTGAGAGAATTAAGGGAAAAAAATCAGATCTCTGTCCCTTTTCAGATAACAGACCCTTATCTCTATTCACTCCTGTGCTCTTTGTCAGCAGAGGTATCTGAGAACTGGAAGGTGAGGTGACTCGCCCCAAGTCTGGTGGCAAATTGGAGGATGAGCTGAGACTTGGGCCACACTGATCCTTAGAGGCCACATAAGGTATCACTCAGGGCTGGACTGCTCCTCCTACCTGGCCCAGCTCTGCTTTTCGAAATTGCTATTTTTTCCTTCTTTGTTGCTTTTTTCTTTTGGTACTGGGGATTGAACGCTGGGTCTCACACATACTAGGCAAGTGCTCTACCACTGAGCTAGATYTCCTGCCCTTTTGATTTTTTGAGACAGGGGCTCACTAAGTTGCCCAGGCTAGCCTCAAATTTACAATCCTCCTGCTTCAGACTTCCAAGTTGCTGGGATGACAGGCAGGTGCCCTTGCACCCAGGTCCTGTCCATCGTGGGTCAAGAACACCCCCAACCTCCAGGTGCCTGTTTCCTCCAGACCCAGGTGTCTTGGGATCTGACCCATCCTTCAAGGTCACTTCCAATGACACCTTCCCCAAGAAATCTTCTGGGGCATCGTGCCTCCAGTTCTCTTCCATCTGGTTCTCACCACTACCTTGGGCTTATCACACTGTATTGTCACCCTCTGTCTTCCCTCAACCAGTCAGGAACTCCTCCAGGTTAGAGAAGAATAGGATCAATGACTTGACACACCTATGGCACAAGGTATGGATAGATGTGATGGATGAATGGATGATGGACAGGTAGGTGAGTGTGTAGATGTGTGGATGCAACATGGGTGTGCAAAGAAAGGTGGTCAGGCAGGTGAACAAATGGAGCACTGTATCTCTGGAAAGCAGCCTTCTTAACTCTGAATAACATAGCTCTGGGGAGCAAGTATTATTATTATTATAGCCATTTTATAGAGACCAACAGGAAGGCTCAGGCAGGCCTTGAACCCAGGACTCCACCAGTCAGCCCCCCAGTGGGTCCAGTTTCACCTTGGAATGCCAAGATTGTCACAGTGTGGTGGTGTTAAGTCATGCTGTGTAKGGAAAAAGTTCTCGGAGGGCAGGGCTCCTCACAGAGGACTTCTTTGGKATGGACATGGTAGATCTAGGTCTGTAGAGACTGGAGAGCTAGGCAGACCTTCAGGGAGTCCAGAGACGAGGGATTTGACCAGAGCCACAAAACAAGTCCGGAGCAGGGCTGGCACAGGAGTCCTGAGACCCTGGCCATTAACAGTGCTACCTCAGAGTGAGGGATTCAGGATGAAAAGCATCTCCCTGGGGCGGGGGCTATAGGCTGGTGGAGGACTGAATTCAAGGTCTGTCCCTAGCTCCTGGGGCATTCCTTTTGTTATTAATAAATGACTAATACTAGTARCAGCTGGGTTGGGTTGTGGAGCTGCAAGGCATACAGGGAAGAGAGGCTCACCCAGGGAGGTAGAGGGGCCATTGAGGCCACTTCTCAAGCAATGGGACAATTCACAGTTGGGTGGCTTTCTGTGTGGGTGTTTGCCATCTGTGGGTAGATGGGGTTCACTTCTGTTAACTAAAAAGTAGCTTTTCTAATAGCCCACCTTAGTGGGGTGGACCACCATGGTGGTCAAGGCCAAGGACATCTGGGTACCAGCCTGGGCTCCCCAGTTCCCACTCCTAAACCCACCTCTTTTGAAGCTGACCAGGTGGCCTTGGATCAAGTTTTGCCCTTCCTCGGGCCTCAGTCTCCGGTTCTTAGGTCTATCCCCTCGATGACCTCTGGGGCCATCTTCACGTTTCCAGCTCTTAACAGGGAACTGACAGTGGGACCTCGGGCACGCGCTCTCCTTGTCCGTTACTCAGGGGTTTGGCCCCCTCCCCGCGCGCTGCGCGCTCCCCACCTGCACCCGCGCTCCCCACCTGCACGTGGGCCGCCTCCTCCAGCGCCAGGCCCACCGGGTGGCCGCGGTGCGCGCCCAGCACGGGGCACAGCGCGCACACGCATCGGCGGCAGCGGCGACAGAAGAGCTCCACGGGGCGGTCGCTATGTTCCGGGCAAAGCCAGCCGCGCGCCTCCTCGGGCTCGAGTCCCTCGGGGGTCGTGCTCCGCGCCCCAGCGCCCTCCATTCGCGCCCCCGCAGCGCGGAACCGCGCRGCTCCCACGGAATCGAAACCTGGCGGGGTCCGGGGCGGGGCGGAGGCTGGGCAGGCGCTGGGCGGCTGCGAAGCTGCGGCACCATCCGGCGGGACTCTGCCTCCCTGCATCCTCCCGCCAGCAGGGTACTTCCTGTACCTGCCCTGGACCGCAGGTGGCCACCGCGGAAAGCCGGGCTCCCTCCACCTGGGCTAAGTGACTGGAAGAAAATGGGCTTCCCTCCTGACCGAAGTTGGGTGGCCTTTCCGGACAGTGAGCATCACCCACTCTTTCCCTTATACTCTTGTGCCTTTTTGCTGGGAGAGCCCCTTTCCACAATTTAAAGAATCGCTTCTTGGCTTTTGGGCCAAGATCAGTTATCCTCAGGCTAAAATTTATAAGGTCCTTGGTTTTTAAGACCCTTGGGCCCTGCCATATTGATGCTCGACCATTTGCTTGATTCCAGACTGGGGGACTTGCATTTTTTTTTTTTTCACTGCTTGGAGTTCCATTCAGCTCCCCAAATGTCCTCTTTCCTGCTTATTAACTTTGGGTTAAGGCCTGTCACCTCCTCTAGGAAGCCTCCCCAGCTTCTCCTCCCAGAACAACCAGAGAAGGGGGTCTGTGTGTTAGGACCTGCCCTGTTTCCTAGCCCTGTTTCTGGCTGTAAAGTAGTTGCTTACTTGGCATTAGTGAAACAAATCAAGAAGCGAAAAGCTGCGTGTATTAAACTGTCTATAGCCGGATGTTTATTTTGTTACATTCTTTCCATTGCACAATTCCGTATCTATTTTCACTTTTACTTCTTTTTTTATTTTTTTTATTACAAAGGTACAAGGAATTTCAGAAACATTAAAACAATCATTCAAACTGTTTCAGGCACGGTTTCATATTAAAAGCATAGATTGATTTCTGACTTCCTGTTTCCTCTATGATGGTTCTCAACTTTTGTCCCAGGAAGCACAATTATTATAGAGCTAAGATGGACACCAGCCAAACTTTATCTCCCTGTACTGTCCTCACCCTCGGAAAGTTCCTGAGTCAACAGAAAGGGGGATCCCGGGGTCTGCAGTAAGGAGACTGTCCGAGTGCAGGACATGTCCAGTGCTGGGCATGTTCTGCTCCATCAGCTCAAGAAAATAAAAAAAAAAAAAAGTAGTTTTTAAAAAAGATGGTTCTAAAAAATATCGGATAAAAATTATCTATCCCTCTCCCTTGCTGTGAAATAATTTAAATAATTTATTCTAAATGTTAAAAAAAAAAAAAAAAAGAAAAAGAGTTTGTTCAAAGCTGCCTGTCTCCTGCTTTTGAGTGGGAGGTCTGGGTCCCTGGGGGGGGAGGGGGCTGGGAAGGGATGGCACCRGGCAGTCATGATCAGAAGCTCTCTCTCTGGATGCACCCCCCACACACCTCCAGCTTGGCAGCCAATGACCTTGGACATGAGGTTTTCACTTCTCTGAGGCTAGGTCTTCCCTTCTGAGCAGGGGGATTATAATACTCACAGACCTGTGTTCCAGTAGCACATGCCAGTGAGTGGACAAGGGGCTGTGTAAACTGTAAAGTGTGGCCACAAATGAAGTGCATGGGGTTACTCCATCYAGGGACCCTACTTTCCTGACAATGCCTGGGACTTGGCTTTTTGCTCTGCGGCATGGTAAGGCAAGCTTGGCTGTTGCTTTGGCTGGGAGTGAGTCTCAGTAACTGAGGAAATGGAGATAAGACAAGGACCGTGGATCTCTGGTGTGTGCTAACGGGGGACATMAGCCTTAGCTAGTGGGGGTGGGGGTGTGAGATGACCATCAGCACTGATTCCCAGGCTCCTGTCTGGCACTCACTATTCTCATCTTTACGGCAARTAGGTACTGACAGACTAGTCCACTGAATTGCAGAATCACCTGGGCAGCTTATGCAGAGGGCCAGGCCCTTCACGAGAGTTGGCTTTAGTGGATCCAGGTGAGTCCTGGGCATCTGCATTTCCTGAATGCTGTCAAGGGGATTCTAATGTACAGGGCTGCCTACCAGGCTGGTAACTCCAGCTGTCCCCATCTGAGCTCCAGTCACCCAATGTGATGTCCACTCTTCTTGGGGAAGGAGGAATGGGTTTTACTCCTCATCATTCCCAGTCTGGCTTGGCTGCTGAATTGACYCAGGAAACAGATTCACAAAAGAGGGAAGATGCAGAAGACTTTGGGGCCAGAAGGGGACTTCAGGGTCATCTGTGGTCCTACTTTTTACCTAGTGCATTCATCCCTCTCTGGAAACTGCCATCGGTGAGTGACCACAGGGCTCTGCTGGTACTCCGTGCTGGGGACCCACTGCCTCCTGGGGAGTGGGGGCTCTTTTGCCTACATTCTCCTGCAGGAGGCGCTGTGTAGCCAGCAGTCAAGGACACAGCTCTGAGGTCTGCATCCCCACATAGGAGACCGGGTCTACTCACATCCATCTGATGCAGGCTGGAAAGGAAGGTTTTGACTGCCTGTCTGAGTTCTAGAATTGGGCTAAATCTTGATTCATTTCCCTGACCTTAAACTTGACCCCTTGGTCAGTGTGAGTTTCTGCAGCAAACCCAGGCCCCACCTGTGGTTTTCCTCAAGTCAAGGTCTCTGGTGGCAGATCCTGTGGAGGGAGCTCATCCAGAGTCCCCCGCTTCTTAAGATGGAGAAACTGAGACCAGAGAAAGAAGGACTTTGCAAGAGGTCACCAAGTCAGTCAAGGCCCAGGTGAGGCCAGACCCAACATATTCACTGTCCTGGGGGCTGAGAMGTGCACAGGGCCAGAATCAGCAGAAAGACTCACCCAGGAGACCCAGGTGCTCAGCCCAGCCTCACCTGCCTCTCTCTCATCCTCAGTTTCCTCACTTTTCAAAGAATGAGTTGGGCCAGATCACTGGTTTTCAAACTTCTAAATTTTTTTTTTTTTGAGTAGCAGAATTATGGATTCTATAGTCCAACATATGAAGCATGTGTCAGTTGGGATGGGGTGAGTGGGGACACTGCCCTCCTGCCTCCGTTTCCCCCCATTCTAGATGACAGGCAGCCTGACCTCCCCACTTCTACCAGCTCTAACTTCCTGCAGTGTTCTTTCCCCTTGAGAAGTCACAGCTCCACGTGGACCTCAGAAGYAGAATTCAACAGAACATCTAAAAACAGTCAGTGCAGAAACTGCTGCGAGAAGGCAAATAGGAAACGGCACCACGTCCTACTGGAATCTCCTTCAGTGACTGAGAGTTTTGTTTTCTGGTAAAAAATATAGAAATAGTGGTTGTTCTTGGGGGACTTGTGGTTTGGTTCTGGACCTCCCCACAGAGCCAAGTGGCGTCCCTGAGGGCCAGGATGGCAGAGGCCTCTGCTCAGAACTACGCTGAGCTCATGCGCAAGTTTTTGATCTCTAGTTCCAACTGCTTGGCTTGCACTTCCCGCTGGGTCACCAGCTCGCGGAGCCTTCGGATCTCCTCCTGTTGCCGATAGAACATCTGCAGCAGCTGGAAAAGCACAGGGCAGAGGGCAAGATCACCTGGGTGGCCTGGGACTGTGGCTGGGGCAGGTCCYCAGCAGAAGAGCCAAAACATTACCTCTTTTTTGTCCCCCTCCCCTCCCTTCCTTGGCACCCTTCCACTGACCCCACCCCCTCAGCAGACCCCCTTCACACCTCATTCTCTGTCTTTGGTGGGGGACATTCGAAAATATCAAAGCCATTTGTGAGCCAGGACTTCTTCTCCTCGGGCCTGTGTTCCGCAGCCCACCTTGGCGCCTTCCCCTCTGGCTGGGAGAGGGGCCTCTGGCCGTCCTCTGCAGACAGCTTTGCAGTGTGGTCCAAGAGCTGGGGTGAGGTCCGGGCCGTGGGGGTGGAGAGGGGCTTCTCTGGAGGCAGTGGCCGGGGGCTYAGTGGCTGGGAGCCGGGCCTCAGGGACACCAGGATTGGCTCTGGGAGGGAAGAAGCCAAGGGCGGTGAGAGGACTGAGCATGGGACACAGACACTGGCCGACACACAGTCACAGAGCGACATACAACAGGCGCAGGAGATCCAGCCACCTGCGGAATGGCACAAGTCCACGGATGGATGGGACAATCAGACCCGARTACCCACGTGTGTAACTAAGCAAAGGCTCGTTTGTGGGAACAGCCCAGTTCAGGCCCTGGGGCTGCCCCCAAGCACGGGGAACTCCTTGAGTGACACCTTGTCCTGACTCTAAAGACGGTCCTGTCACACTGCACTCTGCCACCTACCAAGTTCATTAGTCCTCCCAACCGTCCTGGGAAGCAGGGGAGGTGGGCCTCAGGCCTATGGGGGAGGAAACAGGTCCAGGGAGGAGCAGGTCCTGTCTAAGGGCCACATGGAACAGGGAGCTGACTGCCTCTGGCCCCAGCTGAGGCTCTTCCAGTGCACCAGGAGGCTCCCCTTACCCACGTGGGAGGAAACGGAGGGGGCAGGGAGCAGCTGGGTGGGGAGGGAGGACTCCCTCACTGGGCAGGAGGCGGACAGAGGGGCAGGCCAGGCTGARGCAGCCTGGGTGGGGCCTGCAGCCTAGAGGGTTCCCTGGAAGTGGGGGACCAGCTGGGGGGTCTGGCTGAGACTGGTCAGTGGCCCTGCGGAGCCCAGGTGTGATGCTTCCCTGGGGACATACCCCTTGGGTTGGAGGGAGTTTTCGGAGCCACTTGGGTAAGTCCCTGCTTTCCTGGACTTTCACGTGTCTGTCAAGGGCCTCTCCTCAGAGGCCACAAGAAAATGAAAATACAGGTCCACTGRGATTCCACTTCCCCCCACGCTCCTCACCTCTGTTCATCCCGCTGAGCCACTCCCGGGCAGTCAGGGAGGGCTGGGCCCCTGCYGTGGGCGGGTAGATGTCCTCCTGGTAGGATTCCGACTGCAGGGAAAGTCCAGATGGTGACTCCTGCTGAATCCAGGAAACCCAGGCCCAGAGACCAAAGGGGCTGGCCCAAAGACACACAGCAGCTCAAGAGCTGAGGTAGGGAGAGAGCCAGGASTCCTGGCCCCAGTGATGTCACCCTGACCATGAGGAGGGCCTTCCCTTGGAGAAGCGGCTCTCAGCTGTCCTGTGGCTGCCACCAAGGTATGGGCTGGAGGGTCTGTCTTCTCCGGGAGGGGTTCCCCCCCTGCCCTCCCGAATGGCCCCCACCTCCCTTACCCGCCGGGGTACAATCATGGATATGGGCTCGATGAGGCTTTTGGTTGTGATCAGCTTGTAGAAGCGGAAGATCTCGCAGGAGGACACTTCGAGACCTCTCTTTGGCATGGTACCTGGGGACAGAGGGCCAAGAAGAGCCAAGAGGTTCCAGCTGGGCTGGGGCCGCAGGGACCGAGCAGGAGGGGAAAGCCAGGCTGCACACCTGGACGTGGAGAGACAMTGCCCTCCTCCTGCCACCTCCCCTCAGCGAAAAGCTCATGAAYGACACCTACGCTGGGCCGGGCCCTGCACTGGGAGAATGGGGTTGAGACAGTCGGACCCTGCCTCCAACTTGCCATCCTCCTGCCTCAGCCTCCTGAGGAGCTAGGATGATAGTCATGTGCCACCGCGTCCAGCTAAAGAGGGTTTCTTAGGGATAAAAAGTTGGATCTTCTTTAATCCCTAAAGAAAGGAGGAGGGGCTTGCTCCCTGGAGGCTCCRATTTCAATATATGAATTTCAATATCCGAGTCCTCCCAGACCTCCGACACTGAAATTCCATCTCCGCTGTGAGGAGTGAAGAGCTGGGAACTGAATCTCCGCGTGGAGAGACGGGAGGGATTAGGATTGGATGAGGTCATCAGGGTAGAGCCCTCTTGGTGGAACCCCAGTGGCTCTCTGGGACCAAAAGCCACACACATGCATGCTCCTGTCCCATCTCATGACGCCCTGTGCTGCCCTGGGACTCCGCCAGCACAAAGACCATCACCTGATGCAGCCCCCTGACCTTGGAYCTTGAGGATCCCGAGTCAGAACACACCTCATCTGTGGTCAATACCGTGTTCCTGGCAACAGGAAGAGGCTACGACAGCCACAGGTCAGGGCCGCTGTGGGTCCCCTCCCGCTGGCTGCTCCCTGCTGCCCCCGCAGCCCGGGGTCCCGCTCACCAATGCCCTTCTGTGGGTTGTAGGAGCGGTACTCGGTCAGGTAGCTCAGGTGGGGCTTCTCGGCGCTCACCTCATAGTAGCGGATGTTGCCGTCTCCCTGGGAAACGAGGAGGCCAGACTCGGCCGGTGCCCAGCAGCACACCCCAGCCACCGCCWGGCGGCCAGATCCCCGCTCTCAGCGTGAACGGCTGGCAGCCCCCCTGCCCCACAGGGGACAYCGGGGAGCTGGGCCCCTCACCAAGGCAGGCAAGAGAGTGTCCTCTGACCACGACCAACCCCCCCAGATCCTCCAAGGCCAGGCAAAGCTCTGGGGAGACAGGCCTGAACCTACGCCCACCCTAGTGCCACCCACGGAGGTCAGCACTGGCAAGTCCTCAGAGTCAACCGGAGAGTCTTGGCCCTCGGGGGACACTGCTGGTTGTCATAGTGACTTGGAGGTGAGGAGAGCACCGATCCTGGCACTAGTGAAGAGGCCAGAGGGGCCAGGTATGGACAGCCCTACCCGGTGGACACYGGCTCTGCCCCACCTTCACGGTGCCCTGCTGAGAAACGCTCTGGACCCAGAGTTGGGGAGGGACAAGCTTGGAGTGTCCAGCCAAGTCCTGGTCCCGGGGGTTCCTCTGGAGCAAGGAAGGTGGCCGAGGGGTGCTCTCCCGTGGGGAAGAGTGGCCTGTCCCTGCCCTATACTCGCAAGGGCCCAGGCTGGGCACCAGTGGGGCCCAGGCTGGGACATCTCTGCCTTCTGCCTCAGGGCTCCAGGTGGCCACCTCCCTCCTGTGCCAGGCTGACCTTCCCCACTATGTAGAGCATGTTGGTGTCCACGTCGTAGAAGGGAAACAGCACACCTGAGGAGCCGTCCAGGTCCTCCTCTGTGAGAGGCACAGAGAGGTTGTCCTGCAAGGGAAGGGAGACCAGGAAGGCCCGTGAGTCGCCTGGGGGCCTCGGTGGTGCTTGCCACGGGGCCGTGTGTGCACACATGTGTGTGTGTGAGAAAGAATACTGACTTTGTGTGTATGTGTTGAGTCCCTGGCTCTTGAGGTTCAATTTGTGGGTTGTCATAATGACTTGGAGGAGTCAAGAGCCTCAGGTGGACATAACATTTTAAAGGGACTAAAACAAGCTGGGCGGGTGGTGCACACCTGTAATCCCAGCAACTCGGGAGGCTGAGGCAGGAGGATTGCAAGTTCAAGGTCAGACTCAGAAACTTTAACAAGACTCTCAGAATCTTAGTAAGACCTCTCCAAACAAACAAACAAACAAACAAACAAACAAATAAATAAATAAAAGGGCTGGGGGTGTTGCTCCGTTGTTAAGCATCCCTGGGTCTAATCCCCAGTCCCACAATAAATAAATAAAACACTTATGTATCCCTCCACTTGTTTGGCAGCATTTTGTCATTACCGAGTCACTTTTGGCACACCCGATCTCACTCTGCTCCCCTGCTGCCTGCCTCCCCCCCATCTTGTGTGATATTTTATTGCCTTGGCATCGGGAATTGAAGCCGCGGGCTCCTGACTCCTTCAATGATCAGCTGCACAAGGTCTGGCCTTGCCCAGGGGCATCTCCCTGTTCTTCACCCTGAACCCCGCCCCAGCCCTGGGCAGACCCTGCCAAGTGTGTGTGAGAGACCCCTGAGACAAGGACCGAAGCCCACCCTCAGTTGAGGGCCGGGCGATGCCTGAGGCTCACCTGGTCCCACAGGGCCATCTGCCGGTTGTTCCACCGAGATGTGCCCGTGGACAGCAGCTTCTTCATGTTCCCCAGGAACAGCACCTTGTTGGCCCGGTGCCCCTTGTAGCTGGCTTCCTGGAGGGAAAGGTGGAGTCAGTGTCGGGGACGCTGGGAGGGCACTCCTGGGCCATGAGCTGGGGTTTCTGCTCCACGTGGACGGAGCCCCCCACCCAGGGGCACCATCTCCAGGAAGCCTTCCCAGGTCACTCCCCTCGACACGAAGATTCTCCCACTATTTTTTTTTTTTTTTTGGTACTGAGGATTGAACCCAGGGGCACTTAACCCTGAGCCACATCGCAGCCCTCTTACATTTTTATTTAGGGACAGGGTCTCACTGAGTTGCTGAGGGCCTCTCTAAGTTGCTGAGGCTGGCTTTGAACTCATGCTCCTCCTGCCTCAGCCTCCTGAGCTGCTGGGGTCCCAGGTGTGCGGCACCACACCCAGCTCTCCCACTATTTTTCAGAGGTCGGATACAGGAAACCTCCGCCAGCTCCACATCTTGCCCAGCGATACTGAGCACCCGCTGTGGGCCAGGCATGGGGCTGGGTGCAGGTGGCATGAGGGTTGTTCTATTTAGTCTTCTGAGAGGAAGGACTAACAGCCTATTGTCGCTGATGAGCAGATAGGCTCAGAGAGTAGGGAGTGCTTGCCGAGGGTCACTCCTCTGGGGTCCTGATCCCCAGCTAGTGACAGAGCTGAGGCACACCGACCAGTCTTGGAGTTAGACCAGGTTCCGATCCTAGCTCATGAAGTGCAAAAGACACTTCAGGCTTCTTTGGCCTCRGTTTTCTCACCTGAAAAATGGGCATGACTTATCTCACTTCCCAGTGGTGCCGAGAGGCCAGATGCGGATGCTGCCTACAGAGAGAGCCGGGTGCTGACCRGGGGCCAGCTGTTCTCAGAAGCCTCCCCACCCCATTCTTGGACTCCAAGCCAGACCCTGGCCCAGCACTGACCTGGAGGATAGTTCCTAGACGGGGGTCAAGAATCCGAATCTTGCGGTCTTTACAGGCAGTAGCCAGCAGGCTGCCGTTGGTGTTGAAGGACATGGAGAGGATCACATCTTGGTGACAGGTAATTGTCCTCACGGGGTTTACGATGACAGACTCCTTTGTATCCAGGTTCCAGACCATCACCTGCACGGCAGAGTGCTGGCTCTAAGTGCAGAGGCCACCCCCGCCCAGCCCCCAGAGCCACATGGCTGACCAGGCTGCAGGGAAACACAGTATCCCCGGGAGGGAAGCCGCAGCTGGCGGCCAGGCCCAGAAGACAGGGAAGGAGGGTGGGCACGCCTCTGGCGGGAGGGGGAAGCCAGAAGTCAGGCTGTTGGCAGTGACAGGAAAACACCATCTGCCTTTGAGCAAGAAAGCCTCCATGCAGGCAGGACCCCAGGGGACCCACTAGCTAATCCAGGGGGTTTCAGACAGTTATCAGCAGCAGTTTCCACTTCCCGAGGATAACCGGGGCCCTGTGCAGCTCCAAGGCCACCCGTGCTCATAGCCTGGGATGTGAACAGCGCCCCCTGGAGTTGGGTGCAGAACAGCCTGCACATCCGCAC